ATTACTTATAGTAGTTGGCCACGGTTTGCACTCGTCTTTTTTTTTTAAATAAAATAAGTCACAAACGAGCATACAGTCCACCTGATGAATGTGTCTCGTATCTAGATTTCTTAATCAACGATAGATGTAAATATCTACACGCCACAGTAACCACTAACCATCAGGTGGAGTGTGTGCTTGTTTGTCACTCTAAATCTCCTAAAAAAATAAAGCTTAATATAATTTTTAAAAGTAAACCAAAAACGTCATTCACTTATTAATAAAACGTCACAAAAATGGTACGGTTTTGCATGCGATAAAAACCATGATCGAGAAATCATTGTCTTTAAAACAAAGAGTAATGGATGTCATCTTTCAAATAAGGTGACTCCATATATCGTGGTATATCGGTGAATAACACTGTTTATTACGTTAGTAGTACGCAAGTCGTAATAAATTATCCATATTTATGGTGAGTTCGATGACCTGTAAGTTACTCTTCTCTATTAGGTAGCTCGGGTGCAAGAAATATCATCAGTAAGGTGATACTGGAATTTTAATGTCGCTTCGTTATAAAATAAAGTACTATAAATATTTAATATTAATAGTAGTTTGCTTTAAACGATGAATACGATTGTTTCACTAATAGTTATCGTAACTGGATGGTATCATGATCAGTCCTTTAAATTTCGCTGCTGGTAACAGTTAGCTAAAACTTACCCCGTTGTGTTTATGCAGCCGTCCACCACCAGTCTGTAGAATTTATTTACCTTCGTGATTTGGATTGAAAAAAAATGAATTTTCGAAAACGAAACGAAGAGATTCGCAATATGGCAGAATTGAAAGATGACCTTATCACAAAAATTGATAGGGGCGTACTCCGATGATTTGGGCACGTTGAGCGAATGAGTGAAGACCGAATGGTTAAGAAAATATATAGCGCGAAAGTAAATATTAAAAGGTGTCGAGGTAGACCGAGACTAACTTTCGAAGACCATGTGAGCAAATTACTCGAAGGAGGGGAAGGTCAAGAGTACTCGGATACCTGGACGTGCATGTATGAAGAAGTTAATGAACCTGAAAGAAGTGAAAGAGGTATGTAAGGATCGTGATACTTGGCGATCTGTTCCCTCTGGCCACCCCGTTAGGGATTGTGCGTGAAGATAAGTAAGTGATTTGGATGATTTTTCGCGTGGATTTCGCTATATTTTGGTCATCGGAACCTATTCCATTAAATCGAAGAAAAAAAATGTAAGCAAGGTACTTGAAATTCTTAACGCCACTAATCTCAATATAGATCCTGTAATAAATCATTAATTACTCGACCACTATCGATACCGAAAACATCGATAGTAATCCTTATAAAAGGTACACACTAATGGACCGACGCTTCACTACAGGAAGCCTCTTCCAGCCATTTGTCAACTTGACATTTGACATCATTCAAGCAGGTTGAACTTACCTGACTTACATTTTTTGTACATATTATTAAAATTTTTACTAAAATTTAACCAATACCAATGGTAAAAATGTTTTTAAAGTTTATAAATATTGACAAAAATTGTGTATAAGGACATTTAAATTACACAATAGCATAACTTAATGTTCACAGCCATAATTGAAGGTCATTTTACATAATGCAATCATTTTAAAATGACTTTATTTCTTTAGAAAAATAAGATTTTATCATTTGCAAAATTTATGAAATATTTACAATTCGGAAACGTCGAATAATAATAATAATTTTATATCGACAAATACACATCCCTTTGAGTGAAGTTGTTTGTTTTGCCAGTAGCAAGTAGTGTCGCGTTGATAAATATCCTTAAAGATTGCTCAGGCTCTCGATAATTCCTCTTTGAACCTCACACTTTAGCCTACCTTCAAAAATGTATCCTATCGCATTTGTATTAAAGTTTAGAATATATAAAACTATAAATCAGTTGATCGAAACTGGTGTAAGGTAATTTATGAGAAGCTCTCGCTAGGTGTTTTATAGTTATTTGATAAAACACTGGTGTGATTATTTAGCCTGGGCCTGTGACAGACGGCTTCTATTTTGCCTTTATAAAGTATCTCTAATGTTATTCTCGGGAATGTTATCTAGTATTGTCATTGTATATTAGTAATGAATCGTGGTATTAAATTTCAAATTTTTATATGCTGCTACTTGGTTACTTGTGACAAAGCAGCTGTCCAGATAAGCCGCTACTTGCGTTGAGAACTGTCAAGACAATGGCACACATACGCTGTCATTATGACATGTGTGTGTAATTTGACATTAGTGAAGACCTACTTTTTATATTTGTAGCGGATTGACGAAAGCTGCTATGATTATTTTCACATTGTTTAGTCAGAGGGCATAATACATACATAACACTCTCACGCCTGTCACCCAGAGGGGTAAGCAGAGACTACGGACTTCCACTTGGTACGATCCTTACACACCTGCGTTGCTTCTTTAACATCCATATATATCTTCGCATACATAGCCATCTGTTAAGGGTCTTCTTAATTTGGCGATATTCAATATGATATCGCCAATTAGAGTAATAAACTTCCGTCTAGGGCCTCCCTTGCCAACCTAGGTATGCAGCAAAATTTTTCTTTGTTTTTGTACTTTTTGTACTTTTAAATGCATTTACAAATGTATCGCCACGTGGATGTGTCATGAATTTATATAACGTAACCATGTGTATTTCGCGTATAATAAATACCTTAGTATAGAACAACTGTAGTCTTAACTTTGTACTTGCATTTTTTATACAAATAAAGGTGACAAAGGAGTACCTACACAGTCCACCCAATGGTAAGTGGATGCTGTGGCCCAAAGGCACTTCATCTTTAATCATTAAAAATTTCACTCAGCATGCGAAACAAAGCAGCATTATGATATAATTTTTCGCTGGTATTCTGCGTGAGTGTTCTCCTTCCCCGGTCATGCCAACACATTTATGCTGCAGCTTGAATTTGGACACAGTTGCTCTACAGCGTAAAAATAAATAAACTATGAGATTTACAACGATACATTCTAATAATAGTAATGAACTAGTACTAGTAGTAATAGCCTTAGTAATAAGTAATTAATAATAAATAATAATATGATTATGATTATTTATTAAATATAATATATTATTAAATATAATTATGCTTATGCCAATTTTTCCTTGAATTTGAAGAGTCATAGGAAAAATCACATTACACTAATGTGATTTTTACACTTACCTTAAAAAAATGAGATTTTCCTATAGCTATTTTGCAAATAATATAGAGTTAATCTTAAAAAAAATGAAAAAAAAAATGAAAAATGATTTATTGATTTACAATGATACATTTTAAACCAGTCGCAAGGGCCCCTGTACTAGGTTGGGAACCTGTATTACTGGGTACCCCGCTCATCCACCAAGACAATACTGTGTTAATCAATAAATAACAAAAAGCAAGGCAAGATCTAGCATTAGAATGTAAATGAAATTTGGAGTATAATAATAATTACATGGTAAGCATGCATGCTAAGCATGCACGCGTTTGTGTGTGTGTGTGTGTGTGTGTGTATGCGCGCGTGTGTGTGTGTGTGTGTGTGTGTGTGTATGTGTGTATTTTGTAGTTGTGTGGTAGTGCTTTAACAATTGGTGTGGCTGTTCGAAGCATAAAAGTTATGTAATAAATTGTTCACTTTCTTCGGAGTTTAGTGTTAATAAAAATTGAGTCACTACACGTTTAACTTTAGTCCACGTCAAGGGGTAAATATTCAATCTGCTGTTGAATTTGTTGTAAATAGATATAGATTGGAATACGTATTGCTTTTGTTTAAACTTTGGCACTCCTACGTTTTGGTGTCTGATGAGGTATGAAAGGTAAATGTCGATGCTTTTTTTAAAATACAATTCAATATATACATCTGGCGAGTAGTAAGCAATTTGTAAGATTTATGTAGTTCAGAAGTTGAAAATCGAAACGGTTTCAAGAACATCACTTTAATTAGAGCTCCTTGAGCTCTTTCTAGTCTTATTAGATGTGTTTTTGCTGCACCACCCCAAACAGGTATGCAATAACTCATTACCGATTGCGCTAGAGCTTTGTAGGTGGTTATAAGAGTTGTTTCATTTGCAACACACCTGAGTTTTTTAAATACCCATGTTAGTTTCTTTATCCTGTCAGCAATGTTTTCAATGTGTTGACTCCAGGTAAGGTGCTGATCAATAGTTACACCGAGATATTTGATGGTACTAGTCCTAGTGATTTTATCACATGAGCAATTATTATAGCTATCTAAATATGGCTTATGGCAGGTATGAACTGTTAGGTTAAATTTAGAATTTGGTTGTGTATTTTTCCGTATGGTAAAAGGTATGAATTTAGTTTTGTTAATGTTAAGGGTCAGAAGGTTCGATCTTAGCCAGTTAGATATATGGTATATTCCGGAGTCAGCAATAATCCTTAGATTTTCCCATGATTTTGCGTTAAAAATGAGAGCAGTGTCATCAGCGTAGGTGTATATTTGACAATTTTGTAGGCTTAAATTGCATAGATCGTTGACATAGATTAAAAATAGAGTAGGTCCGAGGACGCTACCTTGAGGGACACCATAAGAGATATTTGATGGATGGCTAAGATATTCACCAAGCTTGAGCTGTTGCTGACGTTCGGTAAGATAGTCTGTTAGAAGGGCGTGAGGCAGGCCTCTTATACCATATTTATATAGTTTGTATAACAGGATAGGGATAGAAACGGTGTCGAACGCCTTGGCCAAATCCAAAAAGACTCCAAGACACTTGTTACCAGAGTCCAGTTGCTTACTTATTTCTTCAGTTAAGGCTAACACAGCATCCTGAGTAGAAATTCCTTTGAGAGTCTTGAGATTAGTTAATCTTAAGACATTTATTTTAACCATTTCAATATTTTATGTGACCAAAGGCTTTTATAATTCATATGAAACTGACAGTATTAATTTATGATTTTTGTAACTTATTGATTGTCAAATAAAACAACATATCCAATTAGTTATTTTCTTATTCCAGGTAAAAAATGGCGTTCGTTGACCCCTCAAGACAGACGACCATACGTCGAGGAAGCCGAGCGTCTTCGGGTTATCCACATGACTGAGCATCCTAATTACAAGTACCGTCCACGACGAAGGAAACAAAATAAGACCAGACCGAACCAGCCAGCGGCGCCAGCAAGCGCGCCGCCCGCTGCCTCCGCTGCATTAGGATCCCCTTACGCTACAGGAACGGACTCCCCCGATACTCGCTTTTCCCATAATCCTGCTGCCGGCTTCTCACCTTACCGCACCTCGCCACTTGCCTCCGACTACCAGGCAAACCAGTATAACGGACACGTTCAAACGCCGGAGTCTTCCCCAGCAAGGTCTCCAGAACCACAAGGCAGGAGAAGTGCGCCAGCTGAAGCTCCCCTTCCTACACCCGATGCTTCTCCCGTCGAAAATGAAAAAGAAAACTACCAGTACGAAGAACGACGAAGAGCTATAAATGCTTCGTCGATCTCGGACTCTTACTCCTATAAATTCAGAACCCCTGGTTCCTTCTCACCTGCACCTGTTGCAGCTATGGGAATGGCAAATGGTATGTACGTTATGTGTACGCAAAGGACTCTGGCAGAACAGCCTCCGCTAGTAACGGGGACGTTCTTTCCGCCGGTAGCAACATCTCAAGATCAACAGACTCTCGGTAATTCAGCTCCAAGAGTTTCTTCCGCACCAAGCGGTTCTCTGAACACAGAATACAATATCCAGTATCATCCGTACGAACAATATGAACACATGTACAAAACCGAGGACTCGTATGTGTCGCACTATCCTGAACAGCCGAAAACAGAGTACGACGCGGGTGGCAATTACTTCTCCGAGGAACCACCGTCAAACCAGCCTTCCGAATCGGAACAAGGATTTATGACCGCACGTCCAGAGATAAGGGCTGGCTCGCCCGAATCAGATGTAGATGCTCGGGAGTTTGACAAGTACTTGGACTACGGGACTGAAGGTACCATGGAGCAGCATCAGCAATATAGATATGAACAACAAGGATACAGACCTTATTGTGGCGACCCCGCGCCAGGATTAGAATATTGTTCCGAAAGAATGTATGCTTCGCCATACCCGACAGTTATCACTGGAGCTCCTCCGCCAGGAATATATGCACCGCCTGCACCAGGTGCCGAAGTTCGACCGGAAGACGAATTCAGTGTAATCTTAGCTGGGGTTAGACAGACTTGTTACAGTAATTGACTAGACGGCTCGGACTCGGAATAGGAATATTCAGGATTTTCCCTGATTATAGCCCAAAGAGTTGTTTTTAAATTGTTAAGTTAAAGGTTCTGCTATAACCACGTTATGGTTTGTAGCAAAATATGTGATTTAATTCCATGTGTGAAGTAAGAAACAAAGCACATAATATTGTAGTGGCCGTATTGGAACATTTAGATTATGAAGTTTAATATTGTTATTACGTGTTTGTATATTTTTCTTAATAACACAAAAAGGACACGTGAATGAAATTGCTCTATGAACGTTATAAATGATTTTCAAGCTGTAAATTAATTGTAGACAAATCATTGATATTTAATAAGTATACTTTTGTACTGCGCAACAAAATATTTGTTAGTTCTTGCAAGGTGATACAGTGTCTATGAATGAAGAGACATGACAAATTCATGTGAAAAAATAATTGCTTACGATATTTGTGGTTGTCTGTATAAAATTACGCTAATCATGACGTATTTCGTTCGACTTTCAGTTTCCAAACGAAACTATCGTACTTTCAATCAAATATTCCATTCCAATTGTTTATGGTTTGATTTTCGCGCGTAAAACTAATTTGTATTAAGAAATAATTCTTTAATGAAATGTGTATACAATATTTTACATATGTATATAATATACGAATGGTGCTTTCCAACGTCCTAAATTGTTTTATACATTATACTTTAGATTACCGTAGAGGTTCACTAAATGTTTCCTATGTAAAAGATTATTTATTTGTAGCTATTTTTGTATATTTGGTAGATAAAAATAACAAAAATCAAATTAATTGAAATTTAGTTCTTCCATAAAGAATGTAGATATAGTTAAGTCGAATTTTTATGTTTTTTTGTCTTTTATTAAAAACCTTATGTTATCTGTATAAAATGTAAGTTTTTTTGAATTATCTCATAGATGTTAGTTGTACTAAAAGTTTTAGTTTATACGTTTTTAGTTAATGTTGCATATTTGTAGTTATGTATGTACTTACTTTACGTTCGCATTGCGAAACTATGTTCTTCCTGATTGTAAGAAAATTTATAAGGAACAATAAAAGTTATATTATAGAACGGATGTTTATTTTCAATGAACCTTATAACTTGCGATCGATTAAAAAGACTACAAATGTTTTCATAACTAATAATAACATTGACTGAAAATATACACATACCGATATTTTTTCTTTCTTAAAAAACATTACACTTGGATTTTCTCCTGTATCGTCGAGGCAGGTAACAAACATAAATCGCACAAGGACAAACATCCAGACCCGAATCAAATTATTTCAAGGCCATATCAATTCTTGTTCCGTGCGGGATTCAAACCCGCGGCCCCCAGCGCAGCCACTCATTGCCAGGTCACTGCGCCACGGAGCAGTCAAAATAATAATTGAATAACATAACAAATAATGTCTTTAGGTGGTATAACTACTTTTCTGTCTGAGTCCTTCTGGGCAGATTCCAACCTCAAACCAATCGGCTACCAAGAAGATATTCTTTTACGAGGTCGTAATGATTTCTTAAATTTACGAAAACACTAAACATTGAACAAAACTATATTTACGGATTTTATCGCGTTTAATTACATTTACTTTTACTATTTTTTTTTTTGTAATTCCCGATGTTTCGGGTGCTTTACAGCACCCATGGTCACGGGGTGGACTGAGATGTTTGACGTTCCAATATCATAGCTAGCCCGGCTACCTTCAGTTTTTTAATATTAATTTTGATCTACGCAGAACGAGCTAGATCGGACCAAAAATTTTAAAAAAAATATATCAAAAAACTGAAGGTAGTCAGGCTAACTATGACTTCGGGACGTCAAACAACTCAACCCCCCCCCCTTGACCATTGGTGCTGTAAAGCACCCAAAACGTCGGGAATTACAAAAAAAAATAAGTAAAAGTAAATGTAATTAAACGCGATAAAATCCGTAAATATAGTTTTATTCGAGGTCCTACCTTCTCTTTTTTGCCTAGGAGTCCATTTATTTATATACAACAATCTCACTTATTTCTACCGCAAAATAGCAGTGTTTTCACACCTGTGTTCCAGTTTCCAGTTTGAAGCGTTGAAAGCAAGTGTAATTACAGGCTGTGAGATATTCTGTATCTATCCTCAGAGATGCAACGCATATGTAGCCTTCTTTGTTTATGGTTGGCAGCTAGCTCTATCTCCAAGTTCATTTGTCACTTCGGTTTCAAAAAAAAACTACAGCCGTCTACTCATTTTAAGCCTTCCCATCAAATTTCTAATTGAAAGTAATTCTACTAACAATATAATGCCTTGTAATATTTTAACCGTTGTAATCTCCTGCCGATAAAAGTTACGATAAGAAAAGGCGTTACATTAGTGACAAAAGTAATGGTCTAGCTGTCCCATTGCTAATCCTAGGGCTAGTTTCATGGTTGTGTTTCAGAATAATGGCGGTGTAAGAGAATCCTAAAAATATAGAGATAGGCAGCAATGTCTTCCTGATAGCAAATCAAGATAGTAAATAGGTGCGGGTGCCAATGCGCCAGGTAAGGGTGACAGTTATGTCCAAAATTGACGTAACCTATAGGGGTGAGACCTATGTTCAGCAGTGGACTTCGATAAACTGTTATAATGATGACGATTTAAATAGGAGGAAATATGTATTTATTTAAGCTTTCATTCGCAAAATCGTATCGAAATATAGCGGAATTAACGCCTAGAGGTCTTGTTTCTCTTCTCTCTCTTAGTGTATTCTTTCTTAGTAAACCATCACATTTACCGTAATCACCTGACAGCAGGACAAGGAAGTCTCCTTCATCTAATGCTTATTTCCGTCACCAGTGTGAGAAGTCTTCTTTTAAATGTTACAAGTCAGTTTTTGACTTTTATTCCACCTGATGGTTAGTGGTGACTTAGCTGAATATCATAAAGCGTATTGATTAGCTTCACAGTATCCTAAACACTCTTGCTTATATAATAAGATGAAAATACAGATCATTCTCATTAGAGCTTATTGGAAGTCATCTGCTGGACGGTCATGAGGCGTCTGTATCCATCGACTTCCTGTATCTCTTACCAAGTCCTCACTTCATCGAGTGTGCCTTACAATTCGCTTTCGAGGCTTCCACTCCAGAACTCTTCTTCCCCAAAACAAACAGCGAGATGGAAGAGAAAAACAGATGTTGGAAACTATATTCTACTACATTGATAAACGCATTACAAACGAAAAAGCAAACAAAAGTGGTGGAACACCAGACACTGGACTAGCGCCTAGTTTTCCCATGGTGAGAGGAAGAGGCAGAAATTTTATCATGCGATTGCTACGCACACTCTCTGTAATATATCCTGCCGAATACCAAATGGCTATTTTGCATCTGCGTTCAGTATAAGAAATATATTATTTGTAAAGATCATCACCACCTATTTAGTCCTTCTAAAATCCTTTGCTAAATATAAGCTTGCTACACAGAATTGCAAACTATTATACGTGGTGGAGCCACGCTGCAGCTATATGGTTGTAGCACAAATGGGTCGGCTCGAACGGAGTAAAATAGCAGCTTAATACTTCTGTGTTCCGTATGGTGAGTGTCCGGAGACACTTTTTTACTAGAAACGAGGCATTCCAACTTAGTCCTCACGGGTGACAACGCATCTGCGATTTCAATCTTAATCGAGGATAAATGTAGATGTCTATGGGCCGCAGCAACCACTTACTACCATGAGGTGGACTGTGTGCTAGTTTGTCAATCTATCCTATAAAAAAAGTTGGACTGTGTGCTCGTTTGTCACCCTTATTCTATAAAAAAAGAATGGTTCTAAATCACCTGCTTCCGTCGACTTTCCGTTCCATTTTTTCGAATTGGTATTCTATATAAAGGCACAGCACGTCACTTTACGAGTACGAGGCTGCCACATGCGAAACTTTCTTCCTCATAGGTTGTCGGTCCAGTAAGCTCTACGGCCGGCCCATTGTAGCTACAGCTTCGATCTGATGAACTATGAGTATTATCGATCATATAAATTTAATAATATTAATAATACTTCATTATCATCATCATCATCGTCATTATTACAGCCCTTCATAAGACCACTGCTGAAAATAGGCCTACTTATCTATATAAATATAGTACGTGAGGGTACTATATTTATATAGATAACATAGAGTACGCGACGGTCATCCGGTTAGTATGGTCCCTTTCTTAAAAAACTACAGCTTTGTTTGCATGTGCTCTGTAATACGATAGCTCTTCATCAGGTAATCAAATAATAAAATTGTCAAAAGGGTGCTGCTTTATCGACGCCATTTTGACATTATAGTAGATATTTTAGTCGATTTTAGTATTGTTTATTTGGTAAGTTTTTTATAGCAGATTTTTCGAAGTGTTACTAATTTTCGCCGAAGGTTGTTAGTTCTTTTTTTCTTAATATATTAGTTGTAGTACACGACTTTGCATTTTTGTCTCTGTCCTCATCCTAATTTAGGTTTTACAGGGCGGCAAAGTATACATAAAATAGAAGGATCTGTCTGTATTCACCAAAAAACTGCCTTCTATTAACTTTAGGGGATTATTTGCATTCCATTAAGGTAGTAAAGATATTAATAGTTACTTTGCAACTATTCGCTGAATAAAATAGAATAATGTGTTTTACCTAGCACGAAGAGCACCTCCCGCCCTCCCTTAATTGCGTGCACTGATCCCGTTACCACTAATCCCAGCACCACTACTCCCAACACCATAATTCTAGGAAAGACACACCATCGACCATAAAACGACACGTGTTTCGCCTCTACACGAGGCATCTTCACGTAGACTCTAGGGCGGCTGACTGCTAAGAGCGGAGAGATTTTCAAACTAAAACACATCATTTTATTTAGCGGATGGTTGCAAAGTAACTATTAATATCTTTATTATAATGGATTTTCGTAAAGTACCGCCTGATTCTATTAATTATTCCATTAAGGCATAAGTAACATTTTTAAACTTTTTGTTTGTCATGACTAATCTTCAGAAG